TATTAATCCAAGCTGAGTGGGAAGAAATCAGTTTATGACCTTATTAACCACTTGAGGGCAGCAAACTCTTACTCTTCAAAAACCATTTAATACCATAAAAATACATTCAGTTTTGGAGAGATGTTACAGCATTCAAAAAGTACCATCATTCAAAGGCAGCAGAAATACAACCGACTGAGCTGCTGTTTAACAATCTACCTAATGTATCTTACCCTTTCATTGATTAGTTCAATCCAGGCACAATCCTGGGGGATAATTTGAAAGGAATCACAGAGAAAGTCCAAAGAAGATAAATTCAGTTCTTACCAGATGGTGCAAGTCAGATATCTACTGAATACATTCTAAAAGCTAATAAAACACAAATATCTGATTAATAACCTGAAAACTATTAATCAGGAAGCAAAAGATCTCAAAGTATTTTAAAATAAGAAAATAAATGAACACTCTTTAAGTTTTACAAACTGAAAGTTTTGAAGATCACTGAACTCACTGGCCTAATATCTATGTGCATTTATCAAAACTAAGGTGCCGAACGCATCATTTGGGATCTTAAGATACACTTCTTGCTTCTTATGCATGTCTGTAAGTAGCAAAGACTACAACTAAACTGAGCTCTCCATTAGATTTAGGCAGCCTTGTTAGCCAACCTGTAATTCAAATAGGTTGAACCAAGAATACAATATGTAGACCCGTAATTAATACTGCTCCCATTGTTCAGAACCATCTCAAGAAATGGCACGCTGTCTTACCAAGCAACCACTATCAGTCCACCAATATGCTGCCAATATTCTGAACAGCTTCACATCGTTGTTCTGCTTTACAGTGTATCTCATTTGAATCTGTGATAACAAACGATGGATCAAGAACCAGAGGATGAATTCATGTTTTCCTTCCTCTCTTCCTTCACTTCCTCTATTAAAATGAAAAAGCAAGATTTTTTTTTCCCTACCAGAAAATAACTGGCACTATAGATTCCCTTTGCCAAAAGCAAGGGCAGCATTATCCCTTACGGGAATGCATTCTGTAGGACAAAAGAAAATCACCACCTTTCTTCAAAATAAAGGGAGTTTATTTGTTTAAATATAGATCAAATACCAACAGGTAACACTGCACTGTGTGTAAATTCTAAAAACGCTGAACACGCTCAGCTTTTCCAGGATTTTGCATGGTGAAGTCCATTTCTGTGTGAACACGAGAAGACAGGAAAGATGGTACAGTTTCAAATGCAATACTACTTTAACTACCAATCTGTAAGGGTTATGTAGTCCTAAAGGCTACCCAGTAGCATCCCACTTCTCCTGCAAGTAATCAAATAGCTTCAGCTAATCTCTCCATTACCAAGTCATGAATGTACCTTTCTGCACTCCTGCTACCTTTGTCAACGTCTTCCTACTAACTCTTTATTCTGACCATCTATCAACAGTCTGACGATTCTTTTCCCGTCTCTCCCTCCCAGACAGTAGAAACTCTGCTTCTTCCTTTAACACTCACAAAACCAAACCAAAACAGAACATTCATTTATTCCTTCTATTAAAAAAAAAAAATATCAAGTACAGTTGTTCCTTCCTTTCAATTCCTTCCCTTTTTCTTATTTCCCCATGCATTCAAAAAAGGGAGCTCTTAACACACATGATTATAAAAACATCTGAACTTCTCTGAAAGCTTCTCTACACCAGGTACAATCCTCCAACATATCTTCTAAGCCTTCCACAATTTAACTATTCTGTATTCTTGCATCATCCACTGATTGCTAGCAGGTTAGAGGAGATAAAAATGCTAGTCAGTGCACTAACCTATCAACATGCTTACCTCACTTTGGCTGTGGCACCTCTCAGAAATCAGTTTGCCAAATTTGATTTGGATAACCTGTTATTCATTTACTTAAATGCAAACAAACTCTCTTCCCCACATCAACAATCTAAGAAATGCATTCTTAACAATATATTCAGAGCCTTGAGGCAGAGCAATACCGCAATACAATGTACCAATTGTTGGTAATTCCGCCCTCTTTTCTTCCTATTTTGTCTGCACACACGTTGCACATTTCAACTGTAACTCCATAACAACAAGGATCCTTGCAAACTAATTCTACCTGAGCCCTCTAATTGCAACACCAATAGAATTAGTGAGCTGTGGGTGCCCTGGGTTTTTACTGAAGCCGAGACTGGAAAAGCATACAAGAAAATTTGTAATACAGAGGCTACTGTTGACACATTGATAAATTTTGTCTTCTAAGCATGCATACAAAGAGACAGATAAGCCAGAGTTAAACTCTTCATACTCATTACTTTGTAATAAGAACATCTTTCTGATGGAGATGCATCCCTACACAATGGACCTTCATAGCACATAGTTCACTACATACCCCACAAAATCACAAAGAACTGTCATTCTTTTAAACAGGTTTCAGATTCCTAAACTACTTGGATGCTCTATTTTGTAACTGTTATAAAATAATTATGCATCACTGGCAATTAAAATAGAATTACACTTGAAATTACATTTCCTGATGTATATCTGCATACAATTTTTCCTTTTATATATTCATATGCTTGCTGGTTCACAAAATTCAGTAATCCAGTCATTAACATAAATTATAGAGTTATGCCAAGTTTAGAGAGATAGTAGGCAAAATTTTCAGGATTTAGGGCAAAATTTATAAGCAGCCAGCTTTCCCTTCACTTAGCAAGAATGGAACACTGCCCTCATCTTTTTATTGAATTCCACACACAAGCATGAAAACACAGTGTGGTACTACTCTGTTGTCATCAAATCTTCCAATTAGTTCTGTAAATAGGATTGACGTTACTGTCTACATGGAAGGCCAATCCCCGTCCATCCCTCTCCAATATTAAAGTTCATACAAATTAAAATAAACCATACATTGTTTGCTTATGGTTTACAAAACGTATCCAAACTGTCTTTCAGCAAGTAATAAAAGGCATTACCACTGATCATGGAAAAAAAACCCAAACCACAAAATAAAACATGTCACACAAAATAAAAAAACATGTCTCAGGAGACCATTAATTTTTCATGGAAATCAAAGACAAGTACAACTGATTGATGAACTCATCAAATATTAACATGGAAGTTGAAAGGTAATAAAAGGGCAAGAGACTTCTGCATATTCAATACACACTGAACACTCACGTAGCAGTATCATATAGCCCTGTCTTCCATCACTAAGTAACGCTAGAGAAAAGGACAGATGTGGTGTTTGTCTGGAATTAATTGAGCAGTGTCTAGCTCTCTTGTCATTGCTTAATACTGGAAACTGATCTGTCATTAATTTAGGATTTGTAATGCAATGTAATGCTGTTAGGGAGAAAAATATCCATGGGTACAAAGCACTTGAAATGTAAAGTAAGTATACTAACATCTTAAAAGATAGAAGCTGAATTTAATTTGATGCACTCTAAACTTACAAAACACATCCTTCAAGGCAACTTCCAGTGAAAGGGAAATATAGCTCATCCTCCTTAGTATGTTTTTTATATCATCGTTGCAATGATCAAAATCAAGAACACATAAAGAACATAAAAATGCTAAAAATGGATATTTAATTTAAATGCTATAGAACAATGGAAAATAGTAAGTGTGAATTTTGGTAGCTAATCAGATACAACTTATTTAAAAGGGTACATCTATAGAAATATAGCGATGATAAATGCCTTCACTGTCTGTCTTAATTAATGTGACTAATAACATATTCCATTTAAACAAAGTTAAGTTATCCAAAACATAAACACAGGTATTCAACAATAATTTCATTTCAGACTCTGCCAACTTGCTTTCTGTAAAAAATACTGTAAAATTGTTGAAGGCAGTATTTATAACAAAAACGATTAATCACAAAAATACAAGAGACAAGTCTGAAGAATCCTCTGGAAAATAAAGATCTGTGGTCTAAATATATCTTACTGTATTTAGAGGACTACTTAAGAATTGTAGTAAATTATCAATAATTGGAATAGTATCTTTAATACATTTACATCGGATATTTCATATGTATAGCGATATAACAAAACAAACTACTGGGAAAAATTCCAAATATGCCATATCCTGAATGATTATTGAAAAGTTTACATTACACTTGCTTTGGCAGAAGTATTTATCTAAACAGTTAAAATAACTTTATGTATTTTTCAGAACACTAACTCTGATGCAATGAAATCCTAAAACTAACAGAAGGCAGGGAGGATGTCCCTTTGCTGAGCAAAAGGGAGCTCAGAAAAGCAGCCTAAGTCCTCACTCCTTCCAGCTTGAGGCAAGATTTGTGAGAGGGCATTTAAGTAGATTACTTCCCAATTACAGCCATTGTTTATGGCAGCCCAGGAAGAGCCCTAAACAAGACAGATTCTATGTAACAGGTAAGAGTTTGGAATCAGGCAAAATGTAGATACTGTACTATACGTTAATTTTAATAGCTTTAAAGCCAGTAACACACCCCTCTGCTTTTTTGGAATAGGCTTATTTTTGTCTTTAAACATGGTCACTATTAAAAATGCATAGATAACAGATGATAATCACAGAATACACCATTTCTCTGGATGCACCCAATTCATATTTGAATATTGTACATTGGAAGCCCAGCATGCTGCCAAACTAAAGGTACATTTAGGAATCCTGAGAACTAAGGTGCTTTCAGCTAAGCTCAGAGTCAGTTTTAGGTCCTGTTGTGAAAAAGAAAATATTGGGAAAGAATCTCTTGAAGTCAAAAACTAGATTAACTTCTGAAAAGAGGCAAAGTATGTATACAAACAACAGAATTGCCCTTGTGAAGTTAAAGGAATGCACTCTAAGTTGACTGGGGAACTAAGATTCAAATTTAAGCAACTTACCTTGGTTGAATTTGAAGAAAAGTGATGCACAAGAGGAAAAGAATCTAAAATAATTTACTTTAAGCTGCGCACAGCCATGGAACTCTTTGTAAGTTACAAGAGTGTGTTAGAAAGTGTGCACATGTCAGAGAGCCCAAGTTGTTCACAATTGCTTACCCAAGATTCATGGTACAAAACTGTAAGGAGGTGTATGCCATAATCATAGTTCTGTCTTCTTAGCGGACACCTGAAAATTCATAAACGAAGCTAGTCTTTCTGAAATCAAGTCACGGTAATATACTTTTGAACAAAACGTTAAACTTATCAAAATTTCTAATTTGGAATGTAAGAGATCTTAGGGAAATCAGTGTTTGATTTACACACATTTCGGAATTACATATAATCAAGAATAATATCATGAAGGCACAACGATTAAGAACATGCAAGAATAGGCATCTGCAAGTCAGTAGGAAAATGTGCAAAATGCAAGAATTTACAGATCTTTAGGAAACATTGAAAACTTCTTTGCTCTCTGTGCCAAAGTGGAATCGAAAATAAGTTAAGTCTGAACACCCTTAAAACCTGACTTATTTTTTTCCCCCCCGACCTGAAGGCAGGAGGATGACTGGTGAAAACAGCCATGAAATACAGTTCAGAACAGGAGATCTAGCCATCGATTTAAGAAAAGCTTAAGTTAATGTAGCTGTAAGTCAAAACAGGATCACCAGTAAAATTTGTTGGGGTAAGACACAGTCCTGCAAGAACACTGTATTCCTTAAAATTAGTCATCAAAAACTAGTCATCATCAAAACCTTCTGCTGGGAATTTGATGACATTAAGCTCTTCCTTGTGCTGATCAACCATAACTCCTATCTTTCTCACACTCACCTCTTCCTGCAGGCTCCTTCACCCCCCTTTTTCATGCATAACAAATTGAATCATGTGAGACTACATCGCAGACACTCTAAAAAACCACTCATCTGAATGACTGTGACAATCCTAGCAAATAAACTTCAAAAAGGACTCAAGTTTTTGACTCATATTTCTTTCATAGTCAAAGAGTCTCAGTTTAAAAGTAATCTAAATACCAGCCTGGAAAAACCTGTGTTAAAGAAACAGATACCACTCAGAGCTTGGGCCTTAGAATTTACTAAAAATAAAGTGAAATATCAACAGGCACATTAAGAGTTTCTTCTGGAACACAGCATGAGACCATTCACAGATGATCTATAGGGTAAGCTCCTTTCAGCTATCCTAATGTTTTAGCCACAAAGTAAGTCTTGCTAGGGAAATGAAACTGTTGGTAGCACCAGTGGTCCCAGTGAACTAGCCAGATTTCCAAGTCCAGTTGAAAAAGATATGCACAATTTTATCTATTTTCTATATATTTTACATAGAATAAAACAGTCTATCATACCAAAGGACAGGAAACTGAAGACGGGTATTCTAATAAAAACATGCAAACAGAAATGATTACCAATAGTGTTCTTCCTATCACTCAAAGCAGCTGTGAATTAAAGTGTGTTGTTAATTTAGAAATATGTATGTATTCTCTTAAACACTTCAGAATTCAATACAGAAAACACGTTTCTCCAATGCAGCCTTATGAACATAACTGTAAATAACTACAGTGATTTGTGTATATCTAGAAAATCAAAACACTGAGAAATCTCTGGACACCAATGTCATGTTTCTTGCCTGAAGCTCTTCAGATCATTGTTAAAACTAACAGAAGCCATGGGTTCTGTTGGGAAATATAACAACTACTTTAAAATAACAATTGAGACTTTTAAATACAGAGGTTTAGTAACTAACAACATTTAATAAAAATTAGGCTTGACCTTGTGTGGTTTGTCCATTACAATTTTAACAGTCAATAATCGGAGTAGTGGTATGTTTAAGTTATATTTTAGCCTTAAAAATATAGTAATTTACCAAGACAATAGCTGATATTACTGGAAGACACCCGGCCTTTCTATACTGTGACCACTGCTACAGGCATTTTTTTTCCTTCTTGTAACCGTACCTGTCTGTTGTAATTGTGAGTACATCTGTATCCTTACAGTACCGCTCTCCTACAAGTTTAATGAGCTTCTTCTTTGCATGGTCATCCAGATTCAGGTTAGAAAGTTTAACCTTCAAGTACAAGAGAAAACACCTTTAATTACTTGGATAAATCCAATCTCTGCACCCTGAAAATATTTTGAGATAGTTAAGCACATCTTTTATCAAGAATTAAAAGGATAGCTATTGAGTATGCATTTGCAGAATTTCTTCTGATTGTATCACATGTCAGAAGTCTTAACACAAGGCAAGTATAATCTGAATATTCAAACAATAAATTTCTTTTCATACAAATACCAGAGGGACTGGGGGAGAATATTTCTACTCAAACTTTTTTTCAGAGGAAAAAAGAGCTGTCAATTTAGTTTGTAGTGGTATTTCATATGTGTACTTCACATGGAAAAATAAATCTTTTTTAGATTTTTTTTTTTCTGAATAAAATCAGTAAATCAGTAAAAAGATAAGTAACGTTAATACTAAGACATACCACAAGCATCCAAAAGAGGATGAAAAACATCAATTCAAGAAACATCAAATCAGAATTCTCAACATCATTACTGGGAGGTTAATAGAAGTATGCAAAGATGCACACAGATAACAGTATAATGGACCAGAACTGTCTGATCTCACATAATTGATCAAACAATAGTGTAAATAACTTGTCTTCTGTTCTAATGCCACAAACATAAGATATACAACAAATAACTGGTATTTATTTAAAAAAAATCTCTTAATAAGTTAGTCTGAAGCTAGTTTCTATATTCAATAACAAATATGAAAAGTAAAGCAAACTGGTTTTAGCTATCTGTTTACACAATAGCAAATAAGGCACCTGTGAACCTTAACAGTCTAAAGATACATGGTACTGGAAACATAAGTTTCTATTAAGTGAGAGTTGCTGAGCAATATTAAAAACATGAAGACATAATAGTGGTCTTTTACTAATTTGTCCACTGTTTGTTTTTCCTCTATATTCTTTCTACCATGTCATTGCTGTACTGAAGAACTGTTTAAAAATCAAGAAAACTGCATAGGAAAAAATAACAAAAGTTGGAGGACGAAAAGAAATTACAAGCTCCAATAAATATCCGGAAAAAAAGTACTACCTTAAAAGCAAAACCCCTACTACTAAAAATAAAAAACTGAAATACTAAATCTTAGCATGACAAGGTAGGAAACTGGGTTTCAATACCAAAACTTCCATTCTTCAAAAAAAAACCCTAACATTCACTACTCCATAGATGTCTCCTTTTTAAGGAATTACATACTCATTTACTACGCATGCCTGTAATACTGGTGAGTAGGAGTTCACCTACATCCCCTAGCCCCCATTTTGTCAAGTCTAATTCTAAGAAACCTATTAGGTACATCCAGTCTTTAAGGCAATGGTCAAGCTGCAAAAAAAAGCTCTATTCTTAGCGCAGCCTAAAATGACCATGAACAATCACTTTTGAAGTCGCAATACTTCCAAGGCCCCTAAGCACACAGCGACCCCTTCTAAGGGTCAAAGCTACCTTACATACAGTATCCTTCCATACAGTGCAGCCACGTAGCCTTGAACCAGTGGTGACAAAAAAATATAAGAGCTCTGAGAAGGTGGGCCTGCCCCAGCTTTACTGAGAAGCTGCATCTAAACTGAAGCACTCGGCCTCAGTCTCTGTCTGAGCCAGAACACAGCTATGTCTGTGCCTAGCCATGGCCCATGCTAACCCAACCCTGATGCACATCCTTGACTTCCTGGCTTGACCTCACCTACTATATCGCTACAGATTAGCTTGACAATCACCAGACTGTTGACAATCCTTATTATTGTCACTAGACCTAATCCTCATCCACTGACTTGTCTTCCCCTTTGACCTCAAACTTGCCTTATAATTATGAACTTGTCAGGTGATTAATGGACTGTTGGATGGATGAGGTTACTAATACCATACCTGTCCTGCTCACCTTGCTCAGGTAGTAGCTGCACCCTTTTTGAGGAGGTGACTGCCCCTACCTGCCTTACTGCCCCGACAGAACAGCCGACCCTCACTGCCACCTTGCAATGCTCACCCAAATTGATGAGAAACACCTTTTTGCAAAACACATTTTCTTAACATTGTCTTTCTCTAACATTCACAGAAAGAATGTTCCAAGCCAAAGTGTTTCAGACACAACTCTCTGACAAGCATACAACTGCTACTGCATGTAAGCACTTTATGACCATGACTATCTAAACTTAATGGGATACTCCGGCCCAGACATCCACCATTAGCTTGCTTTAACGAACAACGCAAAATTATTTCATTGAGTAGTACTTTTTGCACTGTCTTAAAAGGATAGCATTATCATAGTTCTATCATGCTTGCCTTCACACAGTGGGATCATCTGAAATTTACTGTTAAAAGAGCTATGATTTTATTCCACATGACTTGCTTTTCCTATAAAAATTAAAAAGCTATCTGGTCTGTTACCAACCCAAAGTCACCTTAAAGTGACAAATATTTATATGGCTACTAGCTTCAAATGAGGTAACAATTGGAGAGCTTATAATTGTTAGCTAGAATGCTGTAGACTATTTTATGTTGAATTTTAGAAAAGTTAGAGCTCCACAAAGAACATCAGTTGATTAAAAAAAAAAAAGTCTCATTTTAACATCCTGTAGCACTATGTTGTCTGGCACAATGAGGACAATTCTACTTGGGAAAAGACTAGGATAAATTTAACAACAAAAAATACTGGCATTAGGCCACAAGAGATGAAAAATTAGCATCTCCAGTATGAAACTTGGTAGAAAAAAGGCATGATTTTTAAATTAAGATTAAAAAGGTTTAGCTTTTAAACAATATTTTAAAAAGGAAATCTTATCATAAAGATCCATTAGAGAATTTATCACATCGCACAGTAAAAGCTCTCTTATTGATATAAACTCAAGCACTACCTGACCCAGGGCCATCTGCTTTCACCTTTAAATCCTTCTCTTCTCCCTCCCTAGGCAGATTTTTTGTCAGAGGATTAATCAGAGAAAGAATTTATTACTGAAGTCTGGGATCAGAACACCAGTAACTAAAAAAGCATATGGATGCTTACAACATAAAGGGAAAGTGGAGACTCCTACAGACAAAATGAACTACTACCGTTCAAAGTTGCCATGATGAGATGTTGTATAGGTGTTATGAGCGTGTGGTATCACGCAGTATTTTAACTTATATACTGACAGAGTAAGAATACAACTATCACTTACCCCACTACTGCTCTCAAGATAAGCTCAAATCTCATCTCTACAGGCATGTTCAAAAGCCACAGAACAATCCTAACTTTACTACCATGAGGACAGGCAAGCACTGGAACAGGCTGTCCAGAGATGATGTGCAGTTTCCAGCCCTGAAAGTTTTCAAGGCCCAACTGGATAAAGTCCCAAGTAACCTGGTCTCATCTCATACCTACATTACGTTGAGCTGAAGGTCAGACTGGAAAACTCCTGAGCTCCCTTCCAACCTCAAGTATCCCATGATCAGAAGGCTGCTGCTCCTGCTGCATACACACTGAAGCCTGGAGGCCTGCTAACTCAGCACTTAGGAACGGTGCCCCATTCATATAGCCTATCTTTCAATACTTGTGCACTTCCATAGTCTATAAAAGAAAGACAGAGTACAAAGGCACTTACAGCATTTCCTCTAAGTAAATTCTTCACAAGGTACGCTGTTTTGTTTATACTAGAGCTTAGTCTTCATTTATAAATACATAGCCATATCATTATAAACTCAGTTCTGACATGCTGCAATACACTTAAGGAAATCCACTGCTTTTTATTCACACATTCAGTAAACCATTTCCCACATTTCCTTACAACATACCATACTTGCACATGTTTTGAAAAGAAAGCCAAGCATTTGGGGTTTTGAAACAAAGGTTGTTTACCAAAAATACTACTTACTCTTAAAGTCACCACTCTTGCTTTGGGATTACGAATAGATGTCCCTGCAGAAACATAATCTACTGTCTCAATTTCAATAGGAAAATGCTGTTCACATTTCTCATCAGTGTCCAAAGCACTAGGCCATTCAGTGCAGAAATCTGTATAAAAAAGAGAGAACACTCCAAGTAATATCTGGGTTTTTTTTTTCCAAATGTATTGCAATGTATCTTTTTAAAAGCAGTATTTAGAGAAAACATACTCATTTAGATAACAGCAGGGTCTCTGCTAGACTTGCTCCAGTATTTCAATGTCTTCTTTGTACTGGGTTTCCCAAAACACAACAAAGTACTCCAGATGCAGTCTCACAAGTGCCAAATAGAACCACAGAATGGTTTGGATTGGAAAGATCCATTAAATATCATCTAGTCCACCCCCTCTGCTATGGGCAGGGACATCTTTCACTACATCAGGTTGCTTAAAGCCATGTCCAAGAAGACTTTGAACACTTCAAAGGATGGGGCACCCACAAATTCTCTGGGCAACCTGTTCCAGTGTCTCAGCACCCTTATAATAAAAATTTTCCTTCTTATACCCAATCTAAATCTATTTTTACAGATTTATCTATAAATTTATCTATCTTATACCCAATCTAAATTTCAGTTTAAAACCATTGCCCCTTGTCCTGTCACTACAGGCCTTGGTAAAAGTCTCTCCTCGCCTTTCTTATAAGCCCCCCTTATAGATTGAAAGGCTGCAATAAGGTCATCTTGGAGCTTTCTCTTCTCTAGGCTGAACAACCCCAACTCTCTCAGCCTTTCTGCATAGGAGAGGTGTTCCATCCCTCTGACCATTTTTGTAGCCCTCCTCTGGACCTGCTCTAACAGGTCCATGTCTTTCTTTTACTGAGGACCCCAGAAGTGGACGCAATACTAAATAGAGAGTAATTTTCTGAACATGCTGGCTATGCTTTTGATAATACAACCCAGTATGCAGTTAACTTTCCTTGCCACAAGGGCACACTGCTGACCCACATTCAACTTTCAAATGCCCACCAGCCCCCACATGGCCTTTTCTGCAAAGCTTCCTTCTATCTGTTTGCTCCTCCCCAGCCTGTACTGCTGCACGAGTTATTCCTTCCTGCGCAGTTGCATTTTTTTGCGCAGTTGCATTTTTTTACGCAGTTGCATTTTTTTAACTTCATGAGGTCCTTGCAGCTAATTTTCTCCTGTCTGTTGGCATCCCTTTGAATGGCAGCCCTACCCTCCAGTGCATCACTTGTACCCCCCCAATCCATTGTTATCTGAAGACCTGCTGAGGTTGTGCTCTCCACCATTACCTAGGTTGTTATAAAGAACCTTTTCACATGCTCAGAAATTGCTTCCAGAAAGGTTTGTTTCTTAATCTGTGAGGCTGACTGACCTGCAGTTCCCTGCATCTTCTTTCTCGCCCTTCTTGAAGATGGTCAGGTGAAAATCTCCTGTTCCTCCTGGGTAGGCTGTACCTACTTCCACTTTCTGTGTACCTCATTTTTGTATCCCAGGTCACTTAAGAGTTCCCTGCACATCCATGCTGTCCTGCTGCCATACTTGCTCAACTTGCTGCACACTGGAGTGGACCATTCTTGCCCTTTAAGGAGGCTGAACTTAAAACATCCACCAGCTCTCCTGGGCCACTTTGCTCCCCAGAAGTCTCTCGTGAGATCTGCCAAGCAGACAGCTGAATAAACCAAAATCACTCTCCTGAAGTCTAGGCTGTAGCTCATTTCTCTCAGAATTTTAAACACCACAGTTTCGTGACCACTGTTACCAAGTATGTCCCTAACCTTCACATACTTGACCAGTTCTTCCTTGTTTCTGAACAACAAATCCAACACAGCATGTCTCCTAGTCAACTCATTGATCCTCTGCATTGAGACATTTCCTTCAACACACTACTTGCCTTCCTCACTTCTCTCAAGATCTTAAACTCCATGATCTTCTTTTTGCAACCAAGCCTGCCATCAACCTCCACACCTCCAACAAGTTCTTCCTTACTTGCGAGTAGCCACGTGCAACACAGAATCTTCCCATAGACAGTTTGTCTAGCATCCGCATTAAAAAATTATCTGCAACACACTCCAGAAATCTCCCAGATTGCTTCCGTCCCATCCTGTTACCCTTCCAGCAGGTGCTGAGATGACTGCAGTTCCCAGTGAAACCCAAACTTGCAGTCGTGAGGCCTTTTTCAGCTGTTCATTCACTTCCTCTTCTCAACCAGGCAGTCTGTGGCAGATGCTCACCAAGATATCCTTTTCAGCTTCTCCTCTGATCCTGACTCTCAAATTCTTAACCAGCTTGCCACGCATCTCATAGCAAAGCTCTGCATCTCAGCTGTTCTTTTGGGTACAGATCAGCTCCTCCTCCACATCATTCCTGCCTGCACCTCAATCATACAAGCTTTCGTTCCGCATTTCTGAGATTCCTCCAACTTCTAATTCCTCACGTTTCCTATGCTGCATGTATTTATACACAGGAAACTCAAAACAGGCCTCTCATCTCTTATACTACAGGCTGAGGGGAGACACTATCACTCTCTACAACTGCCTAAATTATTCGATGATTTTATCTCCTCCCTGTCCCCCTTGTGGCTCCACTTCTCTTTGGGCTAACCTTCTCATTAGGTTCTCCTTACTGGCTTGCTGTCTGGCAGAGAGGCTCTTGGTCTTCATTAGATCCTGTCACTCCCCAGCAGACTTTGCTCTCACAGAGCATGTCATTTATTAATAGCATTTTTTCAAAATGCATGCCAGAATTGCTACTGATTAAAACCTGCTTTAATCACAGATAATCTTCTCAGAACTGAGTCACATTCATCACTCATCTTCCTTAAGACACTAAACTATAAATTCTCCAGTACAAGCAGGGCCTAATGGAAAGGTAAAATCAAAGTCTTACTGGTGTGCTGAAAACCTCCTAAGACATATCTGCCTATGACCTGTATGACTCAATGCAACAACAAGAAAGCATACAATACTAGCCAAAGCCTGACAAATAACCAGCTTCAGAGGTGGACCATGTCTCACCTTCTAAATCATCACACACAGTTACATTTTGCACTGTCTTAAAACTCCAAGAGGAATGTTTTTTAAAAACAGAAAAAAGAAAAAAATCCAACAAAATACAAAAACCCCTCACCTTTAAGAGCTGCACAGTGTTTCTTAATTGCAGGAGGAGTAAGATGCAAAAAATTGGGAATCTGAAACAGACACATTAAGAGTCACCAAAATAATAGCTTTTTGTCTGTTTATAAATAAAGGGCTATTACTGAAATCTGATTACACTTTTAATATTTATTAAGGTAGTACAATCCACTTAATAAAATATTCAGATAAGAATTGACTTTTCTCAAGTCTGATTTAGCAAAAGACTTGAATTAAGTGCCATTACAAAAGTCAAAGGCATGATAATCCTAAAAAGTCTCCCGATTTGGTTCATTTGTTACTTACATTTTTGTTTGTTACCGTTTAATTTAGAAATTAAATATAATATTATCTTATTTAATAATAGAGAACAGTATCCAATACAAATATTCCAATCAAAGCAGTGCAGTTTTAATGAATTTTAAAAGTTACCACACATCAGTGGAATGTGTCTTACCTTTATAAGTTCTAAGTTGCCTTCTTTTGGTGGAGGTACACCTCCCTTCACTGGGTAACCCATTCGAATTGGGAGAGGCACAGAGGCAGGTTTAAATGCAGCTGCTGTTGGATAAACACTGCTCCAGTCCTGATCAACAGCCATCTTCTCAGTTCTGGGAGGTGCATGCTAATAAATTGAAAATTATAAACTTTGATGGGAGATACACTGTTGTGAGACAAAGCAGGAACAACACAGGCAAAAAGCTATTTCAGGAATAAATTTCCACAGCTAGAAATTCCGAGACACCTTTACATCAAAAGTTAGTGCTTACTTGTAACGGAATTTTTAAAAGATACCCTCTCAAAGCTTGGGTTGCAGGTCTTTCTACATCTTTAATTGTATTTTATTTCAGAAATGCTTAGAAAAAAGACCTTACCATCCTAAAGGGGGCTTTTGCTGTGACTCAGGAAAAAAAAACAGAGTTTATCACCTTTGGAAGAAAGGGCAGGCAACTCAAGAAGAGTACAATGATCTCATTAGATCATGCAGACAGAAAATTAGAAAGGCAAAAGCCCAGCTAGAACTCAACGTGGCCACGGTCATAAGGGACAACAAAAAATGTTTTTACAAATATATAAACAACAAAAAGAGAGCCAAGGAGAAATCTCCATCCCTTATTGGATGTGGATGGGAACATTGTCTCCAAGGATGAGGACAAGGCTGAGGTACTTAATGCCTTCTTTGCCTCAGTCTTCAATAGCCAGACCAGGTATCTGCAGGGTATTCAGCCACCTGAGCTGGAAGACAGGGATGGAGAGCAGAATAAACTGCTCATAATCCAGGAGGAAGCAGTTAACAACCTGCTATGCCACCTGGACACCCACAAGTGTATGGGGCCTGATGGGATCCACCCAAGAGTACTGAGGGAGCTGGTGGAGAACACAAAACTTCAGCTACTTTCCTATCAGAAATTTTTCATGGAAAACAAATCTCCAAGAATGTATTCATATGTCTAATAAATGTGAGAATGAAAATTAATTTAGGTCTTAATATAGTTTTTGATAATTTATCAGGTGAGTTCTCTGACACTCTGCAGCTGAATGAAAAAAGAGAGAGAGATGAGAAAATAAATAATATTTAACAGAAAAACAAAAAAATGGTGAACTTAATTGAATTAGTTTTATTATTGTAATATATTAGTTACTTGAAATGGAAGGGTTTATCATGACCAAGGGATCAGGTCCAGCCATCACGGGTTCATAAAAGGCAGGTCCTGCTTGAGCAGCCTGATCTCCCTCTATGACCAGGCGAACCACCTAGTGGATGAGGGAAAGGCTGTG